AAAAAATGGTCAAGTGGAAACCGAAGTCCACACTTAATAAAAGCAACTACAGGGAAGGGCATGGAGTTGTCTGTAGGCATGATGGAGTCATCATCCCCAGCCAACCTCAGATTGACATCAGCTGGGATTTCAAACTCTTGCCTAAAAAATTCTAGCTTGGAGGGAGTGTCTACCCGATGTTTCTACATACCCATGATATCAGGATAGCTAAAGGTATTGGATTTCAGAAAGAAGATGTATCAAAAAAGGGTTATTGGGACCTCAACAAAAACCTAGGTTTGAGCTGGTGCAGAAATTTGTAAGGGATGTTTCAGTTTTGCCCTAAATTATGGGTTCTACAGACAAATCCCAAACCTAAATATATGAAAACAAAGACTGAAGGCACGAATCTGAAAAAGACACAAAAAACAGAAAATAAAAACGGAGTTTCAGAATCAAGAACAGAGATGGTCTATCAAGAGCATAAAGAATACAAGGAGTATAGGGCCAAGAACAGTGGCAAAAATACAGGGAAGTGGTGAAACAATGCGAGTGTTCAAGATATGGGTAAAGGCAAAATCGTGGAAAAAACACATGTATGATTCACAGATTAAAAATTTGAACAAATGCAGTAATGGCAACAAGTTCAAGAAAAAATTAAGAAACTGAAATAAGAAGGAATAGTGTATTACCAGAGGAAGAACGAAGCCGGTGTTAAACGTTGCCGAGGTCAGACGATAGTGGCAGACCAGAGAATCAGCACGAACCTAGTCAAAGAAAGAAAACACCGGTGGCTGCAGAACTTTGGAAGCTTGAGCAATAGAGGATTTCAAAGGGTAAAGCAAGAAAGAGAGAGAAAGAGCTTCAGACGCGAAAGAGTAAAGTGAAAAGACGGGGGAAAAAGAAAGAGTTTGATTAAACTTGAAACGGCAGCAAAAAAGGAAAATTAATGATTCTAGAAAAACGAATTCGTCAGGCGGCGCATACAAGCGCAAAAACGATCTACAAGCACGTCTGGAGTACGATCCAGTAAAAAGAAGACGCGTGGCTGAAACAGTTGAGTTGTTTGTGCACAACAGCTCACAAAATTCTTGATCTTTAAGAAGACATGTCGGCCTAAGATGATGATCTCGGATTAACCCGATGAATTAGCATGAGGTACTGATATAGGTTTCATCACCTCAGAATAGGTAATAGAACTTAGGGGGCAGTTGTGGGGATATATTTTTTTGAGTACCAACACGTGGCAAGGTGACGCCGACGTGTCAGCCGAGGTGCCACGTGTCCTGGTCGTTATGCCAAGGTCATCTCGGTTAGGCCGAGGTTATCTCCGAAGATATCAGAATCCAAGATAAGCGGATAAGAGATAAGTGACAAGAGTCCTAGAATAAAAAGAGACTTAGCCCAGATAAGGATAAAGCTCTCAGAGAGTTTATCTTTATCTCTTGAGGAAGTCCAAAGTAAGTACTGAAGAGGAATCCATAGAAATCAGGCTTCTATTAGGATTAGGATTGAGGTAACTATAAAAGAGAGGTACCCCCATGAGTCTAAGGTACGCAATTTATATTCTGTCTAGTGAGTTAAACACTATTGATTATCTTTGAGAGATATACTAACTTGATTGTCAGAATGCCCCTGGGTGGACGAACCACTGCCGGAATCTTCTCTTTCTGTTACAGGTTAGCCAGGTGTCATCTATTCTGCCAGTGTTCTCCAGTTGAATACTGAGTCGGGCAGTGTGATCAGAAAATCACTCATACAAGTATCAAATCAATATGCATAGATATAACATAAATCAAAGTGACCTCCAGCTGAACGAGCAATTGCAATTGCAATTGAATATATAAAACAAACTTGAACTATTCTATATTATGTATATATATATATATATAGATATGAAGAGATGAAGAGATTACTTAACTAGTATATCATTCATAGAATAGTGATATACTTAACCAGATTAAATAAAAATCCAGATCATTACCTCTCTTATATCAAAATCAAACAAATATGCATCAATGTATAAACCTATACACACATATATAGCAAGAATGCAGTGATTAAAACTTAAATAGATTGATACAACAATTGAATAAAACAAAAAGAAAAAAAGAATAACTCAAACTTCATGAACAGAACTAAAACACAACTCTTTAGAACAAACTCGAAACAAGTAAGCATCGATAATTGAGAAAAGTCGAAGCCAAGTACTCGCAAAATCACTAGAACAAATGCAAGTTAAATAAGCTCCAAGTTTTCAACAATTCGAAGAAGAAATTGAAAAAATCTATTGAACGAGTCGATGATTCTTTCGAAAATCAAAATGGAGAGCGTTGAGGTTTGAGAGCTGGAGCTATCAAATAAACAATATATAAATGTTTGTTATGTTCTTTTATGGTGGAGAGAGACAGAGAGAGAGGAACGAGAGGGAAATATGTTGTCCATAGTGGCAAAGGCGTCTTTTTTTTTCTTTTTCTTTCTAGAAAGTCATCAATTCGAAGCTCTACGGCTCTATCAAAGTCAAATATGATTGAATCTGAAGTTCTATGACCGAAGCTTAGCACGCATGACTTCAACCAAGATCTGAACAATGAAAACAATGGTCATCCGCATATCTACACCAATCCTCTGTAGTCTCGGCCATTGGTCTCCAAATCTACACTGATCCGCCATCGTACTGCGCCATCATAACAAGGCTCTCTCGATTTTTACTTGCAGCTTGATCTGGAGACAGGGACGACGGAGGAGGCTAGAGGAGGATCATTGATGGGAGACGACAAAGGAGTGCGATGAAAGAGCAGAGAGAGAGAGAGAGAGGGGGGTTTAAGTGTTGGAAAAAATGGTTTTATGGTGACTTTAATGTGAAATTAAAGTAGGTCTCAACCATTGGTTGAAATGGGATTAAATGGGTTTAGACTCTTTGTAACAAGGTCTTTACACCACAAAAAGAATGACAAAAAATTATTAAGAATTGAATGAGAAATTGTCTCATAAAGATGATCTCATGAATGAGGTATTGGGAATTGTGTATAACTACCAATCCCACATTGGTTGTAGAGGAAAACTTTGATGAGAATTTAAACTTTAAGATTTTGATAAGGACATAAGTCCTTTGGAGCATCTAAATTTTTTGAAGGAAATGAGTTATGGGTGCTTCAAGGATGGACTTGGGCCAAGACTATGGTCTAAATTGGTTATGAAAAAATTGTCACACGCATGCGCGCCGCCCTCCCGCCTGGGCTGGGCCGGGTCTGGGTCCATGGTCCGTGATCCGTGGGTACTTAGGGTTAGGCTTGGCCCACCCATCTTAATCTTTTTGGGCCAAGCCAGGTCTGTGGACTGCAGGAATATATACACAAAACCTATGTGTATAATAGAGTTGGTAACTCCTCTATTCATGATGGATTTAATCCATTAGTTTTGCAGGTTAATACATAATTGATTTCTGCATTAGTGGCCAACCTTCATGGCTAGAAGGTTTCTCCTCTCTCCTCCATTGTGTATAAAAGGAGGCCCATCTCCCTTGGGTTAAATACAGATTTTTTGCTCTCTTATTATAGTCAAGTTAGTCTCCTCCTATAATATATTCTTCCTGTGTGAGAGAGTGTTGCCATTGTTGGTTCGCCAAAGCTATCAGAAGGTGCTTCTGCGTTAGCCAGTCTAAACCGTCGTATCTTGGAAGACAAAAGTCGACGTACCTCCAACACCCATAATGAGATAGTTAATCTGTTTTAAGGAGACTGTGGTATCACACAAGCTTCAGTTTACGCTTCTTTACCATTTTATTGTATTGTCTATTTCTGTGTAATATCATTGTAAATTCCAGCATATTTTCTTAGTCTGTAATTTATTTGATTAATTATGAGTTTATTTATTTTAGTTAATTATATTAATTTATACAACAATATTAAAACAGATTATCTATTTATTATAAAATTAGATAATTAGATTCATATGTTATGTGTAATATTTTCTCTACAATTGTACACTGTTATTGCATCTGTAGAATATTTTTTTTTTAAAAAAAAAAACACAGAATGTGATTTATTATTACTGGAATCCACATAGGAAATACCACTGTGGCATTCACATGAATTCATGAATACTACATACATGCTTGCAACTGCTTCCGAGGCCCATTGTTTGGTCTATAAAATGCTTGATTAAAATTGGTTGTTTCTAATTTATGCAAGCAAATTTAGATATGTATATTTGTCTATTCTGTTCATAGACTAGGAGTGTATGCTACTGTTGTGTTGGAAAAACAGACACTGCTCTTTATGATAACTGAATGAATCTTTATTTGGTTCCAAGTTTAGCAATTAAATGTATTTCTTATGGTGTTTGGTTTTAGTATAATTTATTCAGCAATGTTAGGAATCATGAAAAGTTTTTCATGAAAATAATTATGAAAGGTTTGTGACCTTTGGATTACACTTAGAATAATGCAACACACACTAGTCAAGGTAATCTAAGAGTCACAAATCTTTTATAATCATTTTCATGAAAAAAATTTCGTGATCCCTAACATTTCTCTAATTTATTTGTTAAGTATGATTTCTAGGCTCCTACCATGACTAACATGCTCATGACTATCAATTTTCTAGTCCAGGATTTTCTAAAAATCTAAAATTAGTTGCATGATTTTATTAGGACAACAAAAATAGAGTTCTAGTGCGGTATAAATAAAAAATTGTGTTAATATTCAACATGCTGAATATATATATTAATTGGTATATCACTTAATATATTAACAGATAATATAATATGACATAATTTAAAATTTTTTAAATATTTAAAATTTATATAATGAGTGATATTATAATTTCAAAATAATAATATTATAATATATATTAATATATTAATTAATATCTACACCCTAAAAAATACCCTAGAATATCAATTCCCCGACCAACCATAATTGTAGTGGTGGACATTTGAAAATGGGCACGTGAATTACCCAAAATAAAGGACAAAATTAATAGTGACGGAGATGTGAAAAATACTTTACAAATAACAAAAATAGAAAACGATAATGAATGCAAACAAAGATCTAACCAAAAACAGAGAAGTTTCAGAGCTTTTGTATTGACGGCCAGCACAGGAACGAACTTTGATCGTTCAAATCTCGCATTCAAACAAACAAAATCAATCAAAATTCTCTCTTCACCACCCAATCCGATCTTTCAATCAAATGAGTGGCAGCGAAGGGAGCTCTGGTCATTCGGCCGGAGATTCGGCGGCGGCGGAGAAGAAGGCGAAGTCGAAGGTGAGCAGAACGTCGATGATTCTGTGGCACTCTCACCAGAACGACTCCGCCGCCGTGCGGAAGCTGTTGGAGGAGGATCAGTCTCTGGTCCACGCTATCGATTACGATAATCGCACTCCGCTTCACGTCGCCTCTCTCCACGGCTGGACCGATGTTGCCAAATGTTTGATCGAGTATGGAGCTGATGTCAACGCCCAAGATCGTTGGAAGAACACTGTAAGTAAATGTGTTTGATAGAGTAGATTTGATGAATGAATCCATGTGTTGTTGAATTTGAAAAAACTGTTCTGATTTGTGTGTGATATACCGTATTTTTAGATTTATTACTAGTTTGAATATTTGTTTATGTTGTCTTGAGTCGATTTTCATTGGTGTATTCATCATCAGAGATGGTCTGATTGTTAATTTAGAGCCAATTGAGTTTCGTTAACTGTTGTTTATTGTCGTTTGCTTTTAGAAATGAAGTTTTCAATGCATATAGTGTGAATATTTGTTTATGTTGTCTTGAGTGGATTTTTATTGGTGTATTTGTATCATCAGAGGAGGTCTGATTGTTAATTTAGAGCTAATTGAGTTTTGTTAACTGTTGTTTATTGTCGTGTGCTTTTAGAAATGAAGACTTCAATGCATGTATGCTATACCCGTATTCTTGGATTAACTAGTTTGAATATTTGTTTATGTTGTCTTGACTGGATTTTTATTGGTGTACTTTTATCATCAGAGAACGTCTGATTGTTAATTTAGAGTTAATTGAGATTCGTTAATTGTTGTATATCGTCTCGTGCTTTTAGAAATGAAGACTTCAATGTATACTTGCTATGTGCATATATGTACTGTTTAGAACTCTAGATGATCTCTTGAATAAGCAGGCACTCTAGAGCCACTTGAAAAATCATCGTTGTTGTTTTATTCCCTTGTTTAGAGACTTCTAGCTAAGAATAGCATGGCAATCATGCAAATTATGTGTAGAGGCAATAAAAGGCAATTTCTTTAGGTGCCAGTGTTCATCCATGTTTTTACTGCAGAGCATTGTGGACCCTCATCCTTGTGGAATGCCATCTTTGCATCCTTTTGATAGATGACGTGATATATCTGCTTTGTTAGTGCTTTTGGGCGTGAGAATGGTTTGTGAACTCTGTGTTGAATCTGTTATGGAGCTAGGCACGCTTGTTTTTCATAGATGCAACTGCAATGTTTTGGTTTATATCATATTCAATTAGTTTATGAAGTTTTTAAATATTTTAAAAGCGAGGCTTTTGTAATCTTGAACTCTTCTTTTGACACTAGGCAGACCTCAATGGTGTGCACTGAGCTCCACGTAAATAGTAAACTGTCTCCTTTTTGTTTCCACTGACATTAAGATGATACTTGGTTTTCCTTAATCCAGGCTCTATCTTGTAAGGAAGCACTTGCTACGATGTTTAAGTGGTTGAACCATTTGCGAATATGATTTTGTTTATATCCTTTCAAAAAGTGAAGTTAATGCTGCTGAGTTTTGTATTTCATCTGCCTTTATTACATTCTGTTGCTCTATTACGTGAATAGCATTATTTTTTTCCCCATGCTTGTTCTTCTGCGTTACAAATTATCAATTTTTGTTTTCTACATGCCTATTTCTTATTCATTCTGCAGTTCTCATCCAGCTTTAGTGTTTACAATTATGCTGCCAATGTTGTTTTCTGAACTTGATATCACTCATGACAGCCTCTAGCTGATGCAGAAGGAGCTAAAAAACAGGCCATGATTGAGTTGTTAAAGTCATATGGTGGTCTGTCCTACGTAAGTTCAATGCTTTCCATTGCACTCATTTTATTTATTGTCAAATTTGAATGTTTACTAGTACATTTTATATTATTTTGGCTTTGTGCTTGTATTGTGCTTGAATGTTCTTCTTTCATTCATTTTTTCCCCTTCACTATTCTTTGTAAGCTTGGTGTGGTTGGTGGCTGTTTCACAAGCTGTGAATGTTGAATGTATCTCCAAATTGCTAATAATTGTTTATGTTGAAGCATTCCTTCAAATATGCAAATGTAAATTATGAAATTATGGTGCCTGTTGCTTGGTTTTGGATTTACAAGCTTTTCTCTAAGTTGTTTTCCAGAATTATCGATGAACCATAATGTCAACTTTATTCACACTGAAACTGTCTACTCTTTTTTGCTGTTTGTGCTCTTCTACAGTGTTGTTATAATTGCTCTGTTGAACTTGTGATGTGGATTGTATGCAGCACGATGTGGAGCATAATTAATACTTTTCCTATATTAGGGCGACTCCTTATTGCTTAATATCATAGTTGTCAAATCGGGATTGAAATCATGAATCAAAATGGTCTTATACCGAATTGCGAATTCAATTGAATCGTGTATCATAAAGATGTGATCACTTTTTCTAAATTACTTTGAAAAATATATCTACTCACTTAGATGTTAAATATATCTTATAAACTCTTGTATTAGAATCGTATGATTTGATTCGATTCAGTGGGTAATCGATATGAATAGGTTGCATGAATTGCAAACAACTGTGAATCCTGGGTGAATGGTTGATAGTGAAACGATCAATTCACTTGCGATTCGCTGAAATTGGTTATTAGCCTTCTCTTTTGCTCTTTATTTGCTAGAAAAGGGTTCACACAACCTTTTTAAAGCCTTTAGGGTTACTGTATGCGATCCTTTGACTTTGTCCTTCCTTATTTACTCTCAAAGACTCAAACCCTAGGGAAAAAAAAGAACATTCTCTCTCTACAAATTCTAAGCTTGCACTTTCAACTTTGTCCAAGTGTTTACACTTATAAAAAGAATCTTTTGAAGGCATTAAGTGAGATTTTTAAAAAAGTTAAAGAGATTTGGGTTTCTTGACCACCCTTTGAGGTGAGTATTCTATTACTTTAATTGTAAAAGGTTTCAAATATTGTTGTTGAGTTATTGTTACTTGAAAATTGAGAGTTTGTCTTTATTTACTTTATTTATTAAAAATGGTTGATAAGAAATTTCTAAAGGAAAAAAGGTAAGATGGTGATCTTACATGAGACCCATGTCTACTTCTTACTTACTAGACCACATGATCATCGTTCAAAACAACATTTTCATTGATTTAGGTCTAAATATTTTATATTTAGAAGATATATTTAATATCGAAGTGTGTAGATATATTTTTATTTAGAAAAAGTGACTAAATCTTTATGATTCACAATTTGATTGCGATTCCGTATAAGGTCATTTCGATTCACGATTCGAATCCTGATTTAACAACTATGCTTGGGATATAATAAGAAACTGATTAAAGGTGATGCCTTAATTGTCATTCAAGATCAAGGCAAGCAAAATATGGCTTGCCTAGCCTAGACCCAGACATCAAGTTTCAAACATGTAAAGGAAGCTTTTTGGAACTTCCTTAATAAGCCAAAATATCTCATTTATATAAACCATATTAAAAAGGGAAAATAGGTTATTAAAAAATGGATAGAGTCTGAACAAAATGTTACATGGAATGAGATTGCATCTCCCTCGCAAAGGACGGTGCTTGTCAGATTTGACAGGAAGATTTGTTCCTAGGGTTCTGTCTTTAGCCTTTATATTTTGCTATATTCCTAACCAAATAACTGAGAAAATATGAAACCATGGTAAATGAGTCGATCCAAATTCATTTGAATACCAACACAGGATGTCTACCTCATATTGCATTTGCTAGTAAAATTGGAGTAATCAATTGGAACTATAGTTCTAATCATATCTTGGTATGCATTACTATGTGATGATCGAGTTCTAACATAGTTCTTCTGTTATATGTTTAGATATGAGAAAAACAAAAGGAAACAACTACTGACTGAATTCCCTTCCAACCATCAAATTATCAGGAAGAGAATGCTATTTATGACCGGATTTATTTCATAGTGTATTGATGCTACAAGAGCCATGTGTATGTGGGGGACCCACCATAACCAAACCAAACCAAACCAAACCAAACCAAACCAAACCAAGCCTTAAGTTTCATCAAATGGGGTTGGCTACATGAATCCTTCTTCTCCACGCGGCCCTATCAAAGAACATTTCGTTAGTCAAATTAAGTAGATCCATATCTCTATTTACAATGCTAACCAACGTTAATCTAGGCCTACCCTGTCCCCTAACACTTCCATCTACCGTTATAGCATCGCATCTCTTTACTACTGCCTCTGTTGGTCTCCGTTGAATATAAACAAACCATCTCAATCAATTCTCTCTCAACTTATCTTCTATCGGTGCTATTCCTACCCATTCTCGAATACACTCATTCCTAATTCTATCTTGTCTAGTCTTGCCACACATCCACCTTAGCATTTTCATCTCAGCCACACTCATCTTATCTACATGTTATTTCTTGGTTGCCCAACACTCCGTCCTGTACAACATCGCTGGTCTAATAGTCGTTATATAGAACTTACTTTTAAGTCTAAAGGGTATTCGTTTATTGCACAGTACCCCATATGCACTTCTCTACTTACACCATCCCGCCTTAATCCTATGGGCCACATCCGCATCAATCTCCCATGCTGTTGTGATAATCGACCCTAAATAACGAAAATGTTCACTCTTAGACAGTTCTTGGTTTTCAATTTTCACTTCTGCTTTGCTTTCATTGTTACTGTTACTAAATTTACACTCCATGTGCTTTGTCTTAGTTCTGCTTATTCAGAATCCTTTAGATTCAAGAGCTTTTTTCCAAATCTCCAACTTTGTATTAACTCCTTCTCTAGTCTCATCCACCAGTACTATATCGTTTGCAAAAAGCATACACCATGATACACCTTGGGGGACCCACCATATTTTAAAAATAGTGAGAATTACCATGCTACATATAAGAAACCAGAAAGGGGGTGAAGAGTTCCAGTGAACAATTTCAGTGATATATAGCAGCCCTCTATCAGGAAAATAAGGTTTTAACTGGGATGTTGGATCATTAGAATGCCTCTTGTCAAAACTTCTATAAGTTCAAAATTTACACCCGCATAACAGCATATCTTGGAGCGAATGAAATCGTCCAATGAAATGATCACACAGACATCTATGTTACTATTGAGTCAATTACTAAATGCAACAGCCAATGCAAATAAAAATTAACAATGTCAATATTTTCTAGTAGCCAACTTGACAGTATAATAAGAACATCAATATCCTCGTGAAACAAAAATCATTCCATTGAATAGATTAGACATAAAACACAAGCACCATAGTTCGGATTGTAGGAAGATCCTAGCAAATCTAGTGTGGCTTAAGATTAGCTCAACCAAACGACCAGTTGAACTGATTGATTCCTGTGATGAAAAAAGGCTAAAAGATAGATTGTATCATAGAACTCGTTTGTTTTGAAATCAAGCTCAATCTCACCTAAGTGACACTCTACATTTGTCGGACAACCAAGCTACTGAGCTTGGATTCAAATAAACTCAATTGACACCAGTTCAAGATTGTTCACTGTGGAGGCAACAAACCTCAACCCTAATTCAGGGGTCATTAATTTCACAACTGACATTTGAGCAACCTACCACTCACCTTGATTCAGCTTGTTCATGACCTTACTATGGGGGTGTTTGGGAAGAGAGTTGGGCTAAAATAGCCCAGTAAAAGACAAAATAAGCTAAAATAGTCAATAAGACAATGTCACATTCAACCTATAATCATTTCATTTTTTCTTTCACAACTATCAAATCAACTATAAAAAAGGCCAACCAACTTCCCAAACACAACTATTTTAGTTAGGCTAAAATAGCCAAAAAGTCAACTTTCCAAACGAGGCCTATAAATTATTAGCTTCATCGGAACACCATCAGATGAAATGAAATATTCCATATACAACGATAACACAATTATTATGCAATGATAAAGAATGCATATATTAAGCTCCGTTATCAAAACTTACGATTCACGATTCGATTTACAATTTTTTCAAAATCGATACGAATCTATAGATAGATCTACCTTGGAAGTGAATCTATAGTGAATCGCACGATTCACGATTTTATTTACTTTTTATGATTCTTGCAATTTTTAAAACTATGTTGTTCGACTTGTTTTGATTCTTTCTCTCTCCCTCTTTGGTGAAAATGACATAAATACGACTTCGAATACGGTTCAATATGAAAACAACCAATATATATAAATGATTTGTTATTATTTTAATGATCAAAGAGTTTTTAATAGGATTTGATTAGATTTAGTCAGACCCAACATGTTTTTAATATTTTTTTTTTGATATTTTTATATCTTCTAAAGATGTTTAAAGTTAAAATAACTTGCACCATACCACCACGCCTTCCTTAGGGCTTAGTCTCAAGGAGGTCATAGGGGGGAATTAAACTAAGGGAGTGCAAGCACTTAAGTGCTTTGCCAAGGGTGGAGAGATTTTCTGTTATATGTGCTAATCTAACAACTAACAACTAACATTTGCCGATAAAAAAAAAAAAAAAAAAGTAACTTGCACCATAAATTATCTGTTGCTATTTTATTGAAAATAAATATATTTCAATATGAGTGAGTTTAGTTAATCCTAGTAGTTCCGCAAATATATATATAAAACACTTTTTTGAACAATAATCAAATATAATTTTAAATGTTTTTATGTTTTAAAATAAAATATTCCAATTAATCTTTTCTTATTATCGAGTCATTGTTACTTAGAAAGGTATGTATGCTTATTGTCCAATTATCAATATCATTGTTAAGTTATTGTTCTTGAAAGTTGAGGGTTTGTCTTTGTTTACTTTCTTTATTACGAATGGTTGATTAGCAAAATCTACAAAAAGGAAAAAGGGAAGGTTGTGATCTTACATGGGAATTTATGTTAACTTCTTACCTATTAGACCCCGTGATCATCATTCCAAACAACATTTTCATTGATTTAAGTCTAAATATTTCATTCCCAAGTAAAATGTATGCGTGATGCAAACTCCAGTGGTTTTACCTCTTTTTCTGTCAATATAGTCATGACATGTGAGGTTAAACTTTAAGATGTTAGAGACAATTTAAAGTTTGTCTTTGGTCTTATATTTTTTCTTTGTTGCTTTCTGAATCATTATTTAGTGATAGCTTCTGTGATGGTGTGCCTTCCCTTGGCATTTTATTTGAAGTATCCGTCAAAAGTTGGCTAACATTATCCGAGTCATGGACACTGTGTTGGCATGGAGCTGCAGTTTCAACTTTGGAATATGTGCAGCTTTCAGATATGAAAATAATTGTTTAGTGTATATGATTCAAATTTATATGAGCATAATTACTTTTGAAAAAATTTCTCCATGAAGCTTACAATGCACCAGGTCTCACCTGCAAAAGTCGTACTTTAAATCTTCAACTGGAATGGATGTATGTGGTGAGAACAGAAGGCTTCTGGATCTAATATGGGTTTGGAACTCATGTTTTTTGGTTAAGAAAAATATCATTCGAAAAATGCCAAGGGGGCGTCACTCCACCCTTGAACAATTTTGGAGCAATTTGATGAGGTTGATTAGGTTGTGTAGGGATTGTCACTGATTAATATAGTAACTTGTGACCTAAGTTTCAAGGTGTCACGGGATGTAATTTTAGTGATCTCAGGGACAGCTACTGCATTACCAGCCAGTAAAGATGTTTAGGAGGATAATCAGTGTATCAGGTAGTAGTGTACATAAACCAACATCGTGTTATCCTTTGGAATCTGTCCATCATATAAGACTAAAATCTACACAAAATTATTTAAAATTCAGTGGCCAACTTCAATTATTCATAGAGCTTGAACATGAAGATGCACTATACATTAGTCATACTCATCCATTGATCCTTAGTTTCTAGCTTATTAATGATCTACTATATAATACTAGATTACTTAATGAAAAAGTTAATATTCCTTCTTGATATTGTAATTATGTGCTCTTGGTGGGCTCTCATATCCTAGATTTTGCTGCAGGGACAAAATGGAAGCCATTTTGAACAGAAGCCTGTTCCACCTCCTCTACCAAATAAGTGTGATTGGGAGATTGATCCTTCTGAGCTGGACTTCTCAAACTCAAATATCATTGGGAAGGTATGATGTTGTTTGCCTAAATACTGTCAATACGCTGATTGAATTAAAATTGGAAGCTGGGATATAAGATTGGTCTAATGATCCACTGTTACCAGGAAGTATGTCTGATCTATAATGGCAGTTTGGTAAAGATTTCTTTCTTTGCCACCATTTTTAGGGGCAGTCGTGTTTCATGATTAACATGGATTAATAGTATTCTATAAGCAAAATGTATGCTTTGCTTCTCATCACTAGCAGTGATAAAAGTATAGCTGGAAAATTTGCTATTCTGTCTAATTCTGACCTCAAATTTTTCCTTATGTGATGATGTGATCAAATTTCATATACTGGAGTTTGTCCTTCTACACACGTAAATTGGAATGCTATTTTGTTAGGCGTCATTATGCACTACTTTCCTGTATACATCTAGGTGAGGCGTGTCTCGAAATTACTGGAGACACATTAAGCTCAAGGTTGTTTCAGTTTCAAAAACTCTGGCTACCAGAGGTTTAGGGTTCTTATATGAGATTTAATGGTCTCTTGGTTAGGAACAGACATTTCAAAATAGGCGCCGTAGCAATGTCGGACATGGGGACACGTATGGGACATGCCAAATGGCGTGTCCCTTTAATTTTATTATTTTTTGCCAGGGACACACTGCGGGCATGTGTGTCCAAATCTGGACACGGCGGGGGTATTTTTAAAATTTTTGTAAATGTCTTTTGGAGTCAAAGTGTAAAATTAAGAAAGTAAAAAATGAATATTGTTGGATGTTTTTCCCTCGTCGTCTTAACTCTTATCGTTTATTATGTCTTTTTTTGTGGAGGGACGATCTATTAATTTGTTTAAATGTAGTGGTTTATATATTGAATTAATGTTAGTTTTTATTAATTTTGATTGTTTGGTAACATAATATTAATCTACACAGCAAATATATATATATATAAAAATAAAAATTTGTTGTGTCCCCCACTGTGTCTATGTTCTTATTTTTTTGAAATCACCATGTTTGTGTCCGTGTCCATGTCCATGTCCATGTCCATGTCCGTACTTCATAGTCTCTTGGTTATAGTAGGATCTATTTTTTTTTTCTTTTTCTTTTTTTCCTTTCTGCTTGTTTGTTCTCTCTCTCTCTCTCTCTCTCTCTCCCCCATTTTCTTTTGTTCCCTTAGTGATATTCTTGGGGAATAAAATGCGGTAATTTGAAGTTTATGCTTTTTGATCACATTAAAGGTGCTTAAGGTACCCATTGCTGTCAAATCGAGAATTGTTTTTTTGCAATAGTAAATCGTGCATCATATTGAACCATGAATAGTAAGATTCACTCTATTTATCATAATATATAATTTTATACATGTATGCATATATTAAAATACAAACCTAGTGTTTAAAGCAAAATAAATATCAATCTAACTAAATTATATATATGAATATATATAAATTCATGTTTACCAATATAAATATTTTCTTTTTATTTTGCAAAGATGACACCAGTTCATGCATTATGCAGACTAAACTAAATTGTAATAAATTGCAATTGTATGAATCGAATCATGAATCGTAATATTCTAACAACCATGAAGGTACCTATTGTCTCGAGAGAATGATATATTGTTTATCAAACAATTTCATGAACGTGTTAAATCACCATTTTCCCCAAAAGCTTAAATTATTAGGAAATGGGCCCAACAATGAATATTAAGCTATTCAACACTCTCCCTTACGTGTAACCTCGTCTTGCATGTGGGGAGACAAATAGAGAACCAAACGGGAACTGAATACCAAATTTCATTAGAGAGACTTGAATGCAAGACCTCTTTCAACCTACTATGATACCATTTACGTAGTCTTGGGTAGAACTTAACCCCAAAAGTTAACTATTGAGGTGAAGATGCCCTCATGCTTATATACTTAATATTACTTTAGTACTCAAGCATGTGGGATTTCGTTTCACGGGTGTCGAAAAGCTTGATATATATTGTTGGGCCCATTTCCTAATAGTTTAAGCTTTTGGGAAACTTGGTAGCTTGACATGGTATCAAAGCTGTAGTACTAGAGATGGGTAGGGTGCATTCGTGCACGCCTTAGGTGCTGCCGAGTAAGCATGCTAGGTGTGAAGTGAAGTCCCACATCGCTTAGTACCAAGGTAATGTTAAGTATATAAGCGTGAGGGCACCTTCACCTAAAAAGCTAGCTTTTGGGGTTGAATTCTATCCATGTAACAGAAGGAACTATTGTATTGATTATAGTCACAAAGAAGTTAAAAAGCATCTAGAAGATGCTTGATCCATGGCTTTTGGAAATACAAATACATGGCAGAAGGTGATGAACTAGTTTTTGATTCTTTCAAGGAATCTTCTGAAGGTGTCTAACCGTTCTTATATTTCTGTTATTTATAGTTTTTGAGTCGAACATTTGTATATAGGACTTGATGTGGTGGTATTCATTATGTTAAACTTTGTACTTTGATATTTAAGTAGATATAAACGCTTACAAATGTTAAATTGTTCCACACACATGCACATTCACTTACAACTTTATTTTGTTAATATCTAATCTTCAACACAGTTAGCCCCAAACTTGGGGACAGAGTGTTCTGGTGTGTTGATGGTAAATTTGAAACACATGGTCACACACATGTGACATAACTCCTTTTTATATACAAGCTGAGGCATCCCCTATTAGTGGCATGCTTATCAGTATTCAGTACCCTGATAGGCTGGTCCACTGAAATCTAGATAAAGTTGCTCAGGGAAAAAGGTGCAGATTCTACCTACTAGGGATCAATGCTGTGGTTGAATCGAGCGTGGTTGTGTCTGTGTGGCTACATGTTATAATTGTTTCTTACATTATCAGAGCATCTTTTGATACGCTTTCAGTCTGTCTGATATTTCTTATCATAAGAAACTGTATTCAACCCATGAAGTTGAATTTTCCTTTTAGATCATGTCATCTCTTTTGGGCTAAAAAAACTACAAATTCACTCTCCATTTTTTGCCAAGTTTGGTGTGGCTAACTGACTCTTCTTTTTACTTGTTACTTCATGAATTTATGTCATTAAGTTTGAAGGACATAGTCCTTTCAATACCATTTATACTTTGCCTGTCAGCTTTAAAGCTATTAATGTACTTTATTTTAATTTTATTTGCATGATCTATTCTCACTGGATGGTTGTTGTTGCTCGTAGGGATCTTTTGGTGAGATTTTAAAAGCATATTGGCGTGGTACACCTGTAGCTGTTAAACGCATTCTTCCAAATCTTTCAGATGATAGATTGGTGATGTAAATTCCATTATCTTTCTCTAAATTACTTATCACTGGGTTTGAATCTATTGATTATTACAATATTACTTAATCATTTATCTATTGCATGAGCTACATCACCACTGCCACCATCACAGTCCCTTGACCCCTTCTGCTTCCATCTCATTGCTGTCCCACCCCACACCCAACCCCAAATCTCAGCTCTATCACACTTTGTTCTTGTCGAACACATCCGATTGAACTCTTTATCATCAGATGTGGAGTTACAATTTTGGGATCTAGGACGATGTTACCGTCCATCATTGCCAACTTCAGTGGGTTTGATTGGGATTAATGGTGATGTGTTCTGTTGGATGAAGGTAGAAGAAGGGATGGTGGAGCTGGGTTTTGTTCTGTGATTTGTTAATGGTGGTGGTAGGGTAATTATCTCAAGGCTGTTGGCATGAGTTTTGATGAGGATGAGAGGGGAAAAGAGAAAGAGATCTAGGCGTGGCAGTGGTGCAATGGGTATGGAGGCAGATGATGTTGTTGCTGCTATATTGGTATTTGATGGTGAGATGAGATGCAGAGAGAGGGGAAGGTGGAGAGGAAGAGAGATGGGAATTGAGAGGAAAAAAAATGAAGGACGGTTCCGTCTTTTTGACCTATCTGTTTACTCCATTAACGTCTGTTTTGTTTGATGGGAGGTTGTCATAATTATCTCAAATTAATGGAGTCAAATATAATTATGTCAATTATCAGGGGTGGTCCATGTAATTTACCCTAGAAATAATTGTCAACCATAATCTCTAGGGATTGGGCTGCTGTTTGCCATCCTTACGGTTTTGATTTTTGTGATTTTGTTTTGTTTTTTTTTCTTCCTTTCTCTGTATGAGGACTTCTTGTCCTCTTTCTATTTCATGTTTTAATAAAATTTTGTTGTTTCTCAAAAAAATAAAATAATTGTCAACCATATTTATTAAAAATATAGCCCGACAGCATTTAATTGTAAATGGGCAAAGCTAAAACATAGGACCTGACATTTTAATTGTTTCAAATGACCATGTGCTCTTTTTAATTCGTACATCAAGGATTCGTGTCATAAGAGATTATGCTTCCCGTGAAGTTTACGAAATGATTTTACTGATATATGTAAAGTTTCATGGTCCCCTTGAGAAGAAATCAAATTAATTGTTGTTGAAATATATTTTATATTCTCCACACACCACATTAACCTTTTTCTCTTTAAAATGATTATTATGTTTTGCTTCTCTTATTCAGTCAGGACTTCAGGCACGAGGTGAATTTGTTAGTGAAGCTTCGCCACCCAAATATAGTCCAATTCCTTGGAGCTGTAACCGAAAGAAAGCCCCTAATGTTAATTACCGAATATCTACGGGGGGTAAATGAATGCATTTTTCTTTTTTTTTCAAATCAGAATCTTCATTTTTTTTCATAAAAAAGTAGGCTGTGTTTAGTAGAGTTTTCGAAAATTAATTCCACCCTAACATTCTAATGCTATGTTTGGTTTGAGTTTTCAAATCACGATTCCAAATCAATTTCAAAATGCATTTTGAAAACATGTTTGGTAAAGTAGACAATTTTCGAATTTTTGATCTACGCAATCGTCCGCTCGAACATCCTCCCGGATGTCCGGCCGGTTGACCGAAACAAGGTTGTTAAAATCGGGATCCTAAGTAGGATCGGTGAGAGGGTCTGGTGGATCGGATCGTAGGATCGGATCGAGGATCGTAAGATCCTATTTTCTATTAAAAAAAAAGGTAAAAATTAAAATTAAAATGATACATACTAAAAATAAGGTGAAAAATCATAAAATCTACGATCCTACTTGCGATCCTACCTACGATCATATACGATCCCATACGATCCTACACGATCCCATGCGATCCTACACGATCCTACTTGCAATCCTGTTATAACATCGATCCTACAACGATCTGGATCGTTTTGGCAAAGTAGGATCGTACGGATCGCGATTTTAACAACCATGGACCGAAATAGTACTTTTTTTTTTTTTTACAATTGCCAATTGTCGCCTGTTATTTGGAAAAAAAAAAAATTATATTTGTTTTTGATATTTTTTAAATATAGAAATTGTTTTTTTAAAGTAAAATGACAAATTATTTTTTTGAATTGAATTTTAAAAAAGAGTTTGGTCATGAGTTTTGAATAGAATTTTCAATAGAGTTTTGAGTTGTTGAGTTTTGAATAGAATTTTCAATAGAGTTTTGAGTTGTGTGTTTGGCTATGATTTATAAGTTTTTCAATTAAGTTTTGAAAACTCTTTTCAAAACTCATAAACAAACAAATTTTCTTTTTTCAAATCATAATTCCCAAACTCACAAACTCAAAATACAACTCTATTCTCAAATCATAATTCTAAAACTCTACCAAACACTACCATAATTTTTCCACGCTAAATGATAGCATTTATTAATTTTTGCTATAGGGTGACCTTCATCAGTATCTGAAGGAAAAGGGTGCACTGAGTCCATCAACAGCTATCAACTTTGCATTAGACATTGCCAGGTGCTTTATGTCATTTTATCTCATCCACTTCCATTAGATTATGCAAGATAGCCTTCATTATGTAGATAAATTTATGTTATTGCCTGAGCAGCATCACTAGATAATATGAAGAAAAGAAAATTTGGGGAGCTTTAATAATTATCTGAAGGTAAGAAACAACATAGAGAAAACCAGGAATAGAACGTGGTAAGTTTTCTTTTAAAAATATTATAAGTTGTTGAATCTTCAGTTGCATTTTTTAGAATGAAAGTTTTGCATAAGTTTAATTCCCGAGGAATCAAAATCTGGCATTTGAATCTTCTTTTGGTATTTGGTATATATTAATTACCCACAATCCCACAAAGAAAACTGTGTATATAGAGAGAGAAAGTAGAGAGCCTAATTAAAAAAATAAAACTACTTACTATGTAGAGCATGTGGCCAGTGGTAAAAAGGTATTCATAACTTATTTTAAAAATTAACTTAGTTACTAAATTGTTTTAAAAATTATGTTTCAGTTTACCATAACATTGTCTAATCTTTAGGTTATTTTAGGAATGTTAAAAGTCTATAGGCTTCAAGACGCCAACTGATGTATTGCCTTTATATAACAAACAACGGCCAAGGCACATGCGATGTGTGTGCAAACTCGTAAAATAAATATAAAGTTTGAAATAGTGTATTAAAAAATTGAGTATATAAATTTAAAAAAACAAATTGAATATGACAATAATTTTGGCTAAACTCAATATTCTTAACTGAATATAAATTTAAAAAAAATTGAATATAAAAATAATTATACACAAATTCAAAGACTAAACATTTGCAATCAAAGAGATTTGATAAACATGAAAAAAATTAATTAATTAATTAAAACTCAAAAAAAAAAAAAAATCAATGATAATGCAAAGTATATGAGTGTGTGTATATATATTTCACATCAAACCTTGAAACTGAATTTTTTTTTCTTCTTCTAATTATCTGTTTCTTCCTTCTTCTTCGTCTTCTTCTTTTGTTTCTAAAATAGGTAACTTTCAAAATATATATGAGTGTGTATATATATCCTATCAAACATTGAAATTTAAAAAAAGTTCTGAATATCTACTTCTTCCTTTCTTTTTTCCTAAAATAAGTAAACTTTTAGAATATATTTTCAACTTACTATTCTCATCCATCCAAGAATTAAGGGCTTTTTTTGTTTTTTAATATTTTATTATTATTATTATTTTTTGTGTTTCAAAAAATGTTCTTTTGTGTGCGCAAAGTTTTTTTTTTGAAAAGTTTGGAATACTACTTTTTAAGAAACAATTTGGCAATTGAAAAACAATTTGCCTATGTTTTAAAGAAATATAGAAAGAAAGAAAGAAAGAAAGAAAAAAAAAAAAATTGAAAACGCAATGAATAAAACCCTCTTTTCTTCTTTTTTGTTTTCTTTTTTTGACTTCTCTATTAACCGGTTAAATCAATGTGCAAGAAGAAACAAAGAACTTTTTTTTCTGAAGAATACAAAGTCGTAAAAACAATTTTTCTATTAACCGGTTAAATCAATGTGCAAGAAGAAACAAAGAACTTTTTTTTCTGAAGAATACAAAGTCGTAAAAACAATTTTTTTTTTATATATATATTTAAAATGTATACAAAAAAAACTTTATAAAAAAAATAAATTTATACTCGGAATGATAACCTATATAATTTAAATTCAAGTTTGTAATGTAAAATCTGCATCTATCTATACTATGCATAAAGCATCTAACATATATGTGCATAACATCTATAAACAAAGAAAATAAAAATATACTCACAAAGATAATATATACACAAAATCTGTACGGTTATTTTTATTTTTTGCAATGAATGTAATGAAGAAATAAAAACTATTAAAGAATTACAAAATTTATACAAACAAACAAACAAACAAACAAAAGCCTTAGTCATTAAGAATTTAGAAAGAAAAAGAAAAAAAAAATCAAACACTCTTAGATTACTTACAAGCAAAGAGAAACAAAAGATAAATATTGATAAGTAACTACTTGAAAAGTTATTTCTTCTTAACAACACAAAGTTGTAAAACAATTTGGAAAAAAAAAAAATTTATGTATGTAAGTTGTAAGACAACCTTTGACCAAAAAAATAAAAAAAATTGTATAAATTTGTGTAAAACAACTTGGGAAAAAAAAAATAAATTAGGAATACCAATTTTGTGAATGTAAATTCCTCATAATGACTCACCAAATGGCCAAATCTTGTATGAGTCTGTACTTTGCTTTTGTACTTTCTCTGCAAACCCAATCAAAACCTCCGAATTTTGGCCCCAAAAGACCTCTCTTTCAATCTCTAAGCCTAATAATCTCCGAATTTTGGCCCCAAAAGACCTCTCTTTCAATCTCTAAGCCTAATAATTATTCTTCTTTTATTACATTTCTTTCTTCCTCAAATTCCCATTTTTCTTCGGTCCATTTGGGCATCTTCAACATACTCAATCGCCTTCTCTGAAAAATCAAAATGTTAAAAAAAAAAAAAAAAAAAAATCATGTTACAGAATTATTGTAAAATGAGGGGGGAAAAAAACAAAATTTATACAACAAATAAATAAATAAACAAACAAATAAACAAAAGTTTCAGTCATTGATAATATAAAAATTGAAAACTCTTAGATCATTTACCATAAAAAAGAAACAAAAGATAGTCTTCTATTGATTTGTACTTCCTTTGCCATAATTGAATCAAACAGTTGTGTACTTTTTTTAAAAGAGAAAACCATTGTAGAAAAAGAGGAAGAAAGAAAGAAAAAAGTAAAAAAGAAAATGATAAAAGTAAGTTATTGGAGAAGAGAAGTCATTGTAGAGTAATTATTTGGAGAATGTGGTCGAGTGGAAAGTTATTGTAGACTAGTTATTTATTTATTTATTTATTATCTAAATGCCACCTGGCAAAAGCTTCAAGAAATCAAAAAAGGGCTTCACTTAATATAATAGTATAGATAGTATAGATACGGATAGTACAGATAAATTTGGTCTTGCTTGGAATATAGGAAGTAGATCCAGCCAATGCTTTCAAATTTTTCCTGTTGATCTTGAATTTCAGCCGGACTCAACAATATCTAATATTTTCTGGTGAAAGAAAAACAAATATAGATAAATTTGGGCATGCTTGGAATATAGGAAGTAGATCCAGCCAATGCTTCCAGCTTTTTCATGTTAATCTTGAATTTCAGCCGGACTCAACAATATCTAATATTTGGTCCCTGTTCTCCTCATATTGTATGCAGTGTTTTTATACATTTGGCAAAAACTGCAAAACAAAGATGAGAAAAGTTAAATAGCCTAGAATGATATGATTGCCTAGTAGTTTTTCTAAATTTCCATTGCAGCTTTATTGATTTGAATGTCATACTAATGTGGATTTTATGTGCCCAGAGGCATGGCTTATCTTCACAATGAGCCTAATGTTATAGTTCACAGAGATCTAAAGCCAAGGCGAGTTTTTATCTTTTTTTCTAGATCTGAGTTGAAATATGAATTGTTTTTTTTTATTAGTAACTTAATTTTGAACTTAATTAGCCGGGGTTGCGGAGATTGCGATCTCTATTTCTCTTGGTTTTGGGTGGTTGTTTCTATATGTGCTGGCTGATTGTGGTGATTATTTCAGGAATGTTCTTCTAGTCAACTCAAGTGCAGACCATTTAAAAGTTGGGGATTTTGGACTAAGCAAGCTCATCAGGGTTCAAAATTCTCATGATGTTTACAAAATGACCGGCGAGACTGGAAGCTGTGAGTGTTGTGTATATGTTGATATATTTATATGTTTAATGCTATAGGACCTTCATAACTCAAAGTTTCTTATCATTTCATGGTATAAAACAAAAGATCGGTACATGGCTCCTGAAGTTTTCAAGCACCGGAAGTATGATAAGAAGGTTGATGTTTTCTCTTTTGCGATGATACTATACGAGGTAATTTTGGTTTGTGTAAGAATTGTGAAGACATAAACTGATGGAAACAAGATTAAGTTTATGATGTTCTTAAATGGTGCAGATGCTTGAAGGTGACCCACCGATGTCTCACTATGAACCTTATGAAGCAGCCAAGTATGTGGCAGAAGGACACAGGCCCTTGTTCAGAGCAAAAGGTTACAGTCCTGAATTGAGAGAGTAAGTCAACTCAATTCCTTTAGTCTGCAAAGAGTTTATGATTTGCACCATACCTTATGCATGGACTTCAAATTAAACCTAACATTTTCAATTGGCAATCCATGTTTTTGTTGGTACTAATAGACATGTATAGAGGAAGAAGTTTGATGGTTGTTTCCCATGAGTGGAGTTAAATTTGTGTTAAGATTGTTTTTGCAGCTACATCTAAGGTGGTGTTTGGTTCATTGCAATGGAGTGGAATGGAATGATGATTCCATCAAAATATCCATTCCTATGTTTGGTTGACTAAAAAAAATAATGAAAAACACATTATAAATGGATCATCATTCACCATTGTAAGGGAATGATCATTCCATAGGGGAGCCTAAGGAATGACCATTCCATTTCATTCCATCTCATTCGAGTGAACCAAATAGAGCATAAGAACCTTGGCATCGAAGCTTCTGCCTTTTACCATGTGTGTCCCTTCAAATACATCCTAACAATTGTAACAATATGATTCAATTTCAAAACTGAAAACATCCTACATGTTCCTTGCGTACTGAATTCTGCTATTGTGTGGCTTGTAGATATATTAATCCAATGATCTAATGTGAATGAAGTTAACTGCAAAACTTGGTGCAAGTGGCCGCTGAATTCTGCTATTGTGTGACTTGTAGATATATTAATCAAATGATATAATGTGAATAAGATTGTTTAACTTGTTTACGAGCAAAAATGAAGTTGACTGCAAAACTTGGTGCAAGTGGCCGCATGTTTAACCTAGGCACCCTACTTACTGGTTTATCCATCATTTGTCTCTTTGGTTCTTGCAGCACTGCCCCTTTTGTCCATCCTCTCTATCTAGGTCCTATCTCGTCCAAATCGTAGGTCATCATGCCTTTATGATGACCTGATCTGACATTATGTACTTGACGATACTTGTTAATTTGCAGTGTTTAATAGGTGTAATCAGAGATTTCCATTGCAGGTGATGAAACTGTAATAATAGCTCTCTCTCATCTTGGCCTCAGTTAATGCTACCCTTGACTTCTCACCAATGTTGTATCCTTTCCTGTCTTACCGATCTATCCATACTTGCATCACCAATTCAACTACACATTTTTTTAGAAAGGATTTCAACTGCAAAAATTTTATGGAGATGACATTATTAATTTTTTTTTCATGTAGAACTCAGCCATCTTTGTGAATTCATGTTTCATGATCTTGGGTAGAACTCAACCCCAAAAGCTATCTCAAGAGGTGAGGGTGCCCTCACGCTTATATTCTTCACATTACTTTAGTAATCGGGAGATGGGGGGACATCGCTTCACACCCTCCTTCACGCCCAGCGTGTCACTTGGTAGCACCTATGGTGTGTAGGCTAAGGACACGCACCCTACCCAACCCTGAGTACTCTGGCTCAGACTTGATCCTATGTGCCTATGCTGATGTTGATTGGACTGGTGGCATATGATCGCAAGTCTACTTTTGGTCTTTGTATTTTTCTAGGAGATTCTCTCATCTCTTGGAAAAGTAAAAAACAGTCTATTGCTGCTCGTTCCACTGCTGAGGCTGAATATCGTACCATGGCTCATGCTACTTCTACGATAGTTTCACTTTGTTGGGTTCTTTCCGATATGGATGTTTCCCTCTCTACCCCTACTACGTTGTATTGTGACAATCAGAGTGTTGTGTAGATTGCCCATAATTCAATCTTTCATGAGCATATGAAGCATATTGAGATAGATTGTCACTTTGTTTAGCTGCATCTTTAGGCCGGCACTATCACTCTCCCTTTGTTACTTAAGGGTATTTTAGTCTTATGGGTGTAATTAGGGTTTTGGTAGTTTAGTATATATTGTACTTCAGCCTTTGATTAATTATTGAATAACACAGAAGTATTATCTTTGTAACATAGTATTAGAGTTGGAGTACTCAGGGATGGCTATGGTGCGTGTCCTTAGCCTGCCCGCCGCAGGTGCTATCGAGTGAGCACGCTAGGCGTGAGGGAGGATGTGAAGTGAAGTCTCACATCACCCGAGTACTAAAGTAATGTTAAGAATATAAGCATAAGGGCACCCTCACCTATTGAGCTAGTTTATGGGGTTGAGTTCTACCCAAGATCGTGTAACAATTCATTAATCACTCAGCACTCAAGAAAGCATATGCCCTTTATCTTGGTTTAAATTCTTGTAAAATGTCCTCTTTTAACTTATGCGACTCCATTTCATGATCAAAGATAATGAACTGGCTTTTAGATATCTTTTGTTCATTTTAAAATTAAATCTGGTATATTTGCTGTAAACATATGGATTTCAATTCTAATAATAGCAAAAGAAAATAATAAAGAATGATATAGGCAAGATGAGGATTGGTGGTAGGTGGATGGCCAATAAATAGTCGTACTCAATAATATTGTGCTAGATATGGGGGCTGAGCTTATGGAGCCACTTATAGCTTCATTTTTTTGGGAATTTGTATTACAGTGTTTGGTGCAACTTCTGCTTATAGTTTTTGACACAAAAATAACTTAAATAAGCTGATTATTGAAAAGCGGGGGCAGAGGTGTTTTTTAGCTTCTACTTTTTGATCATCAACTTTCAGCTTGCTGAAAGCTTCAGTGAATAGGCCCATGGTTGATGGTGGCGTGAAGGATGTGTAATCATACCCAACTAATTGTGGTTTAGGCTTTATTAAGTTATAAACTCTTTGATTTTCGTAAACCTTTTGATTCAAAGGCTTCTCTTGTGGTTGTAATGCAAGTTTTAAGTCTTAGTTGTGTCTCAAGATGTAAGAATTTATGTAAAGCGGGGGCAGAGGTGTTTTTTAGCTTCTACTTTTTGATCATCAACTTTCAGCTTGCTGAAAGCTTCAGTGAATAGGCCCATGGTTGATGGTGGCGTGAAGGATGTGTAATCATACCCAACTAATTGTGGTTTAGGCTTTATTAAGTTATAAACTCTTTGATATTCGTAAACCTTTTGATTCAAAGGCTTCTCTTGTGGTTGTAATGCAAGTTTTAAGTCTTAGTTGTGTCTCAAGATTACATATGTTTGTATGCATCGGCAGCATACGACATATGCCCCTAGCATCTCCTCAACCATATGGCTGGTTAGTTCATTTGTTACTAACACAAGAAGATTGGGTTTCCATGTTGAACCCTGGTGCATCATGTGTTGAGTGCTGTTAAATTTGATAAGACCGTGGAAGATGTGAGTTGCGTGAATAATTGCCTCACGGCTTTAAACCCAATGGGGCTTGAGTTCAGGAAGTGATATGGGCCTTTTGCTTTCTCCAAACAGGCCCTGGATTGGTCTGGCCTCACCCGTAACTGGCTTTAACTCAATCATCCTTGGTTGGGCTTGGGGCTTTGTGTTCGGAGAGCTGGGGGTCCAAAGTTTGAAATTGAATTGTTAGGCACATGCAAATGTTAGAGTTGAAGATGCCGATGCTTTATAGTTTAGGTTCAGTTCGGTTGTCTTGACTCACCCCAGTTTGGCCCGTTGTGCATTTTGCTAAAATGGCTATGCATATATGAAATTTGATGTCATGTAATAAAAAGTAATTTGAGTTTTCTTTTCTTCTTTTTTTCTGTTTTATTATTATTATTATTATTTTATTTTTTTATTATTTTTTTTAAATAAAGAAAAAGTAGGATACAAAGTAGATGACATTATTCATCCGTCTGACATGAATCAGTTAACTGACATGGTCTTATTTTCTTTGTTTAATCACGTTCTTGTATAGTTTTCCATGATGTGACAGTTAAGAAGACCTAGAATGTCGGGATGCTAATTCTGTTGTGTGGTCTGAACTTTTTAGGTTAACGGATCAGTGCTGGGCTGCAGACATGAACCAAAGACCTTCTTTCTTGGACATTCTCAAGAAGCTTGAAAAGATTAAAGAAACTGGATCGTCAGATCATCATTGGAACATCTTTACTTCATGAAACAATGGATTCTGATGCCCAAGCATGGCCAAAGAATTGAATGATAAATGCACACAATGTCAATCACAGGTGGGGTTGTGAATGTAGTAGCTGTGACTGATTTGTCTACTTTTTTTCCATTCAGAGTATTGTTATTAACATGGTGAGTGGTGTGTAGCATAGAACCCTCTGTTGCTGTAGTCCATTAAGATTATCCTGATATTGAAACCGCTTGTCGAGGGGTATGATCCAAATCAACATTGTAAAGAATGTTCATCCTCTAACCAGATTTTTGTTTTTTGTTTTTTCGTTTTTGTTTTTGGGTAAATTGTTGTGTTTCAAAGTGAGTGCTTACAAAGCTGGCTGGATAACTATCATTCTGAACTTTTCACTATTGTTTCTCGGAAGAAAAAGTGGACTGTAATGTTCCTTAAGCACTGAGGCAGTGTTTACAGGCCTTAGACTGTCTTGTCTTCATTTTGTTTTTTGTTTTTAATTTTATTTTCTCCCTCTTGTAAAAGCATAAATTGTTTATTTTTAGAGTATCAGGATTTTGTGGTAATGTTTACTGTTGCTTGATTTCTGTGAATTCAACTACATTGATTGTGAAATTTCTTGAGATATTTGCACTAATAGTGACTCTGTTTGTTGTTTTTCTTTTTACTTTTATTTTTGTTTTTAAATGATTTTGTTTCCTTCATTTTAATACAATTATCTAGTAACTTTTTCTGCAGGCTAACTAACTTTGCTGTGTTGGTTTTGCTTAAAATTTCTTTTGCATGTTTTCTCTTTTCTGTAACTTCAATTTTCTCCTCCTTATATGTCCAAACATGGAGCAACACAATCTGTCCCTCTTTCTCACGTGTTGTATCCAAAAAGCTCAAAACACAAGCACTAAGATAGGGCCAGATAATTGGGTTTTTCTTTTCAACCAATACAAGAACCACATGGGGTTAGGATCCGAGTTTGGATCATCTGTCCCAAATTCTTGTCCCAGTATTTCACTCCGTTAGCCCTCCGTCTCACACAGAAACCACAATATCCAATTGACAAACACTCCCTCAACTGCCAAACAACTCTTCCCATTTTTTCCCTCCAATTCCTATCTTCCACCTCTGGCCACACAATGCCGCTGACCGCCAACTTTTGACTTCTCTGTCTCTCTTGCTTCATCTTTTCTTCTCTTTCCTCTCCAGCTCTCCTCTGCAACAACTTCCCTCTCTGTGTTGGTTGGCAGACAGAGCACCCCAACACAATTTTGCAACAACCCCATTCACAATTTGAATTGCCTCTTTTGATTAGGCACCATATCAAATGCCATTGAAATTTGACTCGTTTGTGTCTGCAATTACAGATTATAAGCCAAACCCATTTGCCCAGCGAACCATCAAAATGTAGTACACTCATCATTTTTTCAATTTTTCAATACATGCACACACACACACACATATAGCAGTGAGTGAGAATTTTTATTGTCTACAATATTACAGAAGGTGAGAAAGAGAGTGAGGTGGTCATGACAGAGGGTGTAGAGAAGTGGGAGGGGGAGGAGGGCAAAGATGGGAGGAGCAGTGGAACATGACAAGGAAGCATGAGTCTTTTTTGGGATGGTGCGGGGTTCGCTTGAAGGGCGTAGTCGGAGACAAAAATGAGTTTGTCAGTGGCAATATTAGAGAGTTCACAGAGGTTTGAAGGATGAGAATTGTTTCCCTTTATTTTTATTTTTATTGACACATGTTCATACAAGGAAGCTAGTACAGAAAGGTGGGACACAAACTTCGAACAAATGATCTCAAGCCTTAGAATTCTGTGTCTCATTTACTGTCCCAACTCCCTATCCTGTTATCTAGGAGTTGCCACGTGCCCATAACCAAAAAAAATTAAACCTCAATCTTGTTCTCTCTAGCTCCACCTCTGGGTCAAACTACCTTTGAACCACTCTCCATCCCCAATGACCCCCTATCCAGCTCCAACAGTATCCCTCTTAATTGTGGCCTCGACCATCTAAATTACAAACGACAAAGAGAATTCTTAAATAGTGAACCCAAATGGGTTACGTACATAAATTGATCCAATCAGCATAATTTTGAGACGCGCAAAATGTCAAGAATTAAAATGAGGGTTTGGGTATGAACCCAAAAGCAAAATCCAATGGAAATAAGATAGAAAACTGATTGGGAGCTCGAATTTGAGCTCCCCCGAATGCCCCGAATTCCATTTTATTTATTTATTTTTTTTTTAGCAGAAGAAGGAAGAAGGAGGAGGAGGAAGGAGGAACTGGAGGGGGCCATAATCACAGGGGTGGAGAAGGCGGAGGCGGGGCCGGAGGCGACGACGGTCGGAGCTGCTGCGACGATCGGAGCTGCGACGAGCTAACAATCGCCGACGATCTGCAAGCTGCTGCGACGAGCTCTCTTCTCTCCCTCTCCCTCTTTCTCTTTCTCTCCCTCTCCCTCTCCCTCTCCCTCTCCCTCTGTCTCAGACTCGAGCTGCATGAAAAAGAAGAAGAAGAAAAAAAAAAGAATGCCCAAAACGACGTCGTTTTGGGCATTCGGGAGATTAGGGGGAGCCAAATTCGGAGAAAAAATCATTTTTCAATAAGATAAGCCAAGAGGAACCCAAAATCTCCATCTACAGATTACACAAAATCTCTCACAAGTCATGGAATCCATGTAGGAAACTCAAAATGGAAAGAACAACCCTGATAATACAACAAATTTTTTGTTGTATACATATAATATAATAGAGTGACAGAGAAAGAGAAACTGTGAGATTTTAATTTTCAGAGATAGAGCAGGAGGTGGTGGTAGAGGGTGTAGGGGGGGCGATGTGGGGAGGGGCCGAAGGGCCTAGAGACAGAGGGCTCACAAACATAGGAGGTCGCCGAAGGGGCAAATATTGTTATACACGTGGAAGGAGAGTTACTGATGGTTGGCAGAGTAGAGGGTTAATTTTTTTAGTAATGGACGTGTGGCAACTCATGGAAATAGGACAGAATTGGGACAAGTAATTGGGGACAAGGATCCCAACCGAACCACAAGCGAGTTGTAACTCCTAAGAACACAAAGGGAACGGCTATTCTTGTACCTATAACTTAAAATTCTACCATTAATCCCAAGGAAACCAAAGATCAAATGGCATTATAGTTTGGTGTATATGTATACACAAAACATGCGGGGTGCACATGAGGAGGTAAAAACTAACACATGAAAATGCTCTTGTTTATGTCTAATTGTTTGTACATGTTTAATTATTTGTAACTTAATCATCTGACATTGAAAAAGGAAATTCCGTCTCTTTAATAATACACTGATGGTGGTATATTGTACACTAAGGAAAACTATGAAAGAAGTCCAGGCCAGATTTATATAAGCTTCTTCTTTTCGAAAAAGGTCTTCAAGTGCCACAGTTGCAAACCTGCTACAGATAAGCAAACAAAAAGCGAAAGAATACTCAACCAACCCATTCTGGAGTTGGTCCTTCTGTTAAGCTCCTGCATTTCTTCTTCCCTGAAACAAGCATCAAGTATATGTACAAAACTGCTCATGATAAATTAACATAGATAATATATTATAAATTGTTCATGAAAAAATTATTTTGACTTACCTTTCACGGAGGTAAAACATCTCTTCATGAATAGATGTAACAGTTGCATATAATTTCTTCAGCTCCAACTCCATGTTCTGGTAGCCAAAAAAATGACATAGTTAAACTAACTTGGACAAGAGCAAATAGCAAAATGTATAAAACTTGGCTATTATATCCGGAATCTAGAATAGGCCAATGTTGAAGGTTAGTGTTAAGTTTGGAATATGATCAATATAAACACAAGGAAATGTATCCCAATGTAAAACATGAACATTTTTTTGTTTCACAGATCGAGCCAACACAAGTGAAACTAAATTCAAAGTTGACAGCTCTACAAAATTAGGAAATTTGGTTTACACTGTTTTACACTTTGTCAGAAAACAGAGAATTATATGTGGCTAAACTGCTTTAAAGATTTTTACAGCTTAGCCATAGCCACAATAACAGATATAGGGCAAGGATTTTTACAGCCACATCCTTACCCCACGAAGATATGTTGCAGCCTAAATCGAAGGCACTATCATGACACTGCTATATATATATATATGGATAATGCTATACAAACGGAATTTCTGTACATAAATTTCATACATAAATGACATGACTTCGGGTAATTCTATTTACACAACAATGCTACCTCATTACATCAATTTTTTAATCACACCTCCCTCAAAAATTCAAACATCTTATTGAATTTCTTTACATATTTATTCCACTTATACCCTCAACTCTAGCCTCCTCTATTCTCCTCACACCCAAAATCTTTAAAACCCGAACTCCTCCATCTTCAACTACTATTGCCGCCACCACCACCTCAACGCACCACTTGGCAACCCCACTGCCATGTCCACCACCTCGCAACCCTGCATTGCTGCAACCATCACGCTGCGGCTTCCCCCGTGACCACCACTTCCACAACTTCTTTTCAACATTTGTGTTTTGTTGGGCGAACTAGAGCCGAACAAATTTTGTTTGTTTAGTGGGACACCGCCAAACAAACTTTGTTCGGTTGGAAATGGCTGTGTCCTACTAAACGGGCCGAAATTGATTAACTAACCATGTTTGGCCATAGAAGTCTGAACAAACTTAAATTGTTCGGCTACCGAACAATCTCAGTTTGTTCGGTGAACCAAAGTCGGAAGGAGTTTCAAACCCACATTTTTTAAAAACATGAAACTACACCAAAATGATTAAAAATCATATCAAAACATTTTTTAAACACAAATATCTTGTATATTATTTATAATAATTTTATATATATATATTTATAGATTTTAAATATAAATTTTAATTTTTTTGTTTGTTTGTTGTTTGTTGTTTATATGTGTATATATATATTCTTTAAGGTAGATGCATTTGAATTTGTAGATGGACGGAGACAGTGAGAGATGGGAGAAAAGGTGGCGGTGCTTGGTGGAGAGAAGGGATGGTGGCTAGCTAGCGATGATTGGTGGAGGAGAAGGGTGGTGGTAGTAGTGGGTGATGGAAAGAAAGATGAAAGGTTTAAAGAGAAATATGAAGCGAAGGTTTGAGACTTTTAGTCCTTAATAGTACTTTTACAAAGGGATAAAAATGTAGTAAAAAAATTAAAATGAGGGGTGTAATAAGCTAAAAAGGTTAAGTAAAATTTCCCCATGACTTTTTATGATCCTTTTATTTCAAGCCATATAATACCTATCATTGTGTCTTATAATTACAAGAATGTTACTGCTATCACATCATTCTGGATGTGTTTTATTTACAAATTTTCTATTTGTAAATCATTTTTATCTACTTTTTATGTTGCTATATTTTTTGTCACAAGGGACAATTTATGCTCTCTCACCGTTTGGATTTTTGAGTTCCACTCAAAAGGAGTAAATTGCACATAACTTTTGAATAATTGGTCCATCCCTTGCTTTTCTTTATTTTCGCAAGAAGATTTCGGAACGCAATCAAATACATCAAAATCCCACATGATAAAATCTATCAAACAAGCTAGAATCAAAACTGAACTTAAAGACCAATTAATTGGAAGATCCTTACCAACCATTCAAATGTGCAACACAAAGCTCATTGTCACCAACAAACTAAAAAAATTTCTAAATCACCACAAACCCAACATCAACTATGTTTGGATTGAGTGATTTGGAGAGAAAAGAAAAGAAATGGAGTGATATGTATTTCTCTTATTTGTTTGGATAAGATAAGTAGAGAGAAATGTGAAGAAATAAAGAGAAATGGAGATAAATTCATTTCTCTTATAAGTTTCATTTTCAATCTTTTCAAAAGTGGAGAGATTGAGAGAGAAAAAAATCAATATTTTCATAATACCAATTTTGTCCCTATAAAAATAAAAGAAATAAAATGATTGAAAATATAGAAAGATTATTTTGGTAATATAATATAAAATAATTTCTTTTCTTTTCTCTTAATGAAACCTAACCAAACAAGAATAAGAGAAATTACAATCATTTCTTTTCTTTTATTTCTTTCTTATTCAAACAAAAATGAGAGAAATCACAATCATTTCTTTTCTTTTCTTTTCTCTTATTACTTAAGTAATCATTTCTTTCCTTTTTCCAAACATAGTGCAAATTTCTTTTTCCAAACATAGTGCAATGGAACTTAGCGAATGAAAAAAAAAAAAAAAAACACAAACATAGAGAAAGAAAGCAAGAGAGGCAGACACAGAGAAAGATAGATACTCACATCGATTGTGCCTTTCTTAGCAACGTTGGTCCAATCCTTAGCAGCCACACCAGTCTTCCAATCGAAATCAACGGTGATCGTAGACTGTGGCTTGTGATCTAGGGCCCAAAAGCAAGTCATGTAATCCCCAGCCTCAGCCGCCTGAAAAGAAAACTGTCCTGACTCCACAAGTTCTGCATAGTGATAGCTATGTCCATGCGCAGATGTCACCTAAGAAAAACCCAAAAAAAATCTACTGAGAAAAATTGAAAATAGGCCGTTTGGCAGGTGAGAAAATGGAAGAAAGTGAAAATGAAAAGATACCCTGACGGTGACTTTGTGAGATTCGGGGAAGGGATGGGGATCGTTGGGGTTGACTATGCTGTACTTGGCAACAGACATGGAATTGGTCTTGATGTCTTCGGCTATGCACTTGGAGTGACCCGATTGGAGATCGAATCGGAGTGATTGGGCGGTGTTGGAAATAAACCCGAAGAGGATCAGAAGAAGAAGAGAGACGACTGTGAATCCGTGAATCACCATGGCTGTGATTTGATTGATAATAGCTTAATAATAAAGTGTAGAGAGAGAGAGAGATTTTCTCTGTTCGTCGTATGACAATCAATCTGGTAGACAAAGCGGGGAAAGAAAGGGTCGCAGAGCAACGGACAAACCCAGAAAAATAACCAGAGACTATATATACAATTTATTCATCATTTAAAATCTATTTCTAAAATCTATTTCATGCATGGAGTGATTTTGCTCCGTTTAGAAAATAAGAAAAAATAAAAATAAAAACGGAGAATTACATCTTGGGTCAGAGTTTTTCTTTTTGTTTTTTGAAATAAATATGGGTCCTTCCACTTGCATTCTATTATGATGCTGTTTGGTGTACCTGTTAAAATAGATTATAAATTATAGTTTAACATATTATAAATTATAATTTTAATCAGAAATTGTTAATCTGTTTGGTATAATTGTTAGATTATAAATTTAAGTTGCTGAGTAATGTTTGTTAAATAAGCTGTGAAATAACTTTTTCAATTAACTTTCATTTTTTATTATTCACTATTTGTTTATATTTCTCATAATAATAATATTTTATAGTCCATTTGGGTGTTTTTCTATTTTTAAAAAATAAAAAATTGAAAATTCTAAGAGTATAACCATAAATTAATATCTCTACAGTAGAAGCTGATAATCAGAAGTAAGGGATGAGCAGCTTCTCAGAATCAGTTTTTTTGACTTAAAATAAACTGTTAGAATCAAAAGTTATTTGAAATAAGTTTAACCAAACAGTCTAAAATAACTTTTTAAAAGCCAATAGCCATAAGTTGGCTCAAAAAAACCCCACCAAACACCCACTATATAATGTTGCATCTCACATATTTTTATAATTTTTTTTCTTATTCTCATTGTGTAGAGTGTAAAATTGGCCTGGGTCAGGCCGGCCCACTGTCAGGCCACACGGGCTCTTCTATCAAATTTTGGATCAGGTCGAGCGGGCTAATTCACGAGCCAGAAAATTAGGCCCAGGCCTAGGCCTACTCAAAATAGGGCCACGGGTCGGGCCTGGTTTTTTTTTTTTTTTTGTGAAAAATAATTGATAGATATATTATATATATTATTTATGAGTGATAAAAAACAAAAGAAAATTTATACTATAATATTTTAATTAAGATTAATGAGATATTTGGTTATATTTTATGTGGTGGTATTTAGTTATATATGCCTTATGTTTTTTTAATTATGACTAAAAAAATATAAAGTTATGTAATTTTTTTTTCTTTTATTATGACATTATTTAAGTTATTATGATTCATGAGAGCTATTTGGTTATGACTTGTGTGGCGTTTAGTTATTACTTTTTTTTTTTAGGCTATGACTAAGTATCAAATTATGTTATTTTTACTTTATTATGATTAATTTTCTTTTTAAGTTATGACATTATTTTAGTTATAATTAAGGGGAATTGACTACTAAATCCCAAATTGTCATCTTGTAGCCCATGTGGTCCTAGGTTATTTCTTTTAAACTGTTTAGCCCTTACGACTGATTGTTTACAATTTTGCCATTGATGTGTTAATTTGAATTTATGGGCACATGTTTGTTATAGGGAATGATAGTGTTTGTGGTTCACGTTCCCAATAAAAGCATACTAGTGGGTTTTTGGTTTATGATACTGAGTTAATGTGGGAATGGGACCACATTTGGGTTTGATCGAATGTACGATGTGGGTGCGTAGGTCAGGTTTTATTTGAGGCTCGGTAATACGAATGTGACAACGCGGCACGCCAATTTGGTGTGCCCCGTTTAGATGTTTTCGAAGTAAGAATCATCCCCAAATTGGAAAAACGAATTGGTTTCTATTTGGCGACGTGAACCCTAGCAATTGTAGAAATTGCGCCCTTACAGTTTGCAAATTCACGTCAACCTAATCCCGAAACAGACAGAAGAGATTGAAGGAATAATTGATACAGTATTTGTGCATATCAAAAGTGGTGTGTTTGTACCTGTCATTGATTGCTGTGGGGTGAAGAACCCTAGTTCTGTTGCTCGATCGAAGGTGTCGACTGTGAATCCAGTTTAGCAAAGTGGTAGTGGACTATTTTCTGTGACGTGAACGTGGACAATGTCTGCGAGTCGTAAGTTTTTTGTTTTTGTGGTTAACGTCATATTCTTGTTCTTTGTTTTTTTATGTTATACGTGATATTAAGCCACATCAAAGGGTGAGAGTTCATGGTCAAAGTTCCATAGTACACAACGTAGGCCTGCGGGGGCGTAAACAACGTAGACGTTCGAGTTTTTTGTATAAAGTTTATATGTTAGAGTACTGATTTGGAAACCTCATCGTAAGGCCAGTGTGTGCAACACCAACCGGAAAATTTTGATTTAGTCAACGACGTAGCTATGTGACATTGCACTTGCAGTTAAAGTTAACGACACAAATGGGAAAAGTCAGGTGGACAGTCGCCGAAATTTGTGTAAGTTGCGCAACCTAGAAATTGGATGGGGACTGCATAAATACAGAGTGTGGAACATAACTGTGGGAAGCCGACGGTGTTCATGTTAGACCCAACAATGGTGGACTGTCACAGAGGAGGTTGGCAGCAAAACACAAACACTAAAGTGGAGTATACAAACATCCCCACCAATATCTCACACCTCCAACCCTCCCACCAAACGTGGGATTACTTACTCAAAATAAAACAAAAAAATCCCACAAATTATGTGAGGGCATATTCGTCCACCACATAACAATGTAAATTTAAAGAAGAAGTTATCAGTAAAATATCCCTCCTAACATGGACTGACCAATCAAACAAAAAATTCGTGGGGCCAAACAGAACATAATTTAGTCAGATGGGACTTTCCGATAAATTCCCCTATAATTAATGAGTTATTTGGTTATTATGTTATGTTTTGTAGTTATGATTCAAAAAGTATGAAATTATATCATTTTCTATTAGTTAGGAGCAAATAGATGAGATCTTACAGGAGATACCCGTAGGAGAGAACCTGGTTATAGGTGGAGATTTTAATGGCCATGTGGGCATAGATAAACTAGGTTATGAAATGGTGCATGGCGGATACGGTTTTGGTGACAGAAATGAGGCTGGAGAGAGTATCTTAGATTTTGTGTTGGCTTTTGACCTGATGGTGGCCAATACTATGTATAAGAAGAGGGAGGAGCATTTGATAACCTTTAAGAGTGGATTAATTAAGAGTCAAATAGATTACTTCTTAGTAAGAAAAGTGGACCGCCTAAAATGTAATGATTGTAAGGTGATTCCTGGAGAGTCTGGTCTCTTAACATAGGATTTTGGTACTAGATTCATGTTTTAGAGGGCAATACCAAGCTAAGAAAAATAGTGGGCGTCATAGGACGAGATAGTGGGACCTAAAAGGGGATAAACTAGAAATATTCAAGAATCGAATGGATAAGGAAGGTACTTGGGACTTAGAAGGTGATGCTAACACTATGTGGAACTCGATGGCCAATTGTATGAGGAGAATCTTAAGGGAAGTGCTTGAAGAGTTGAAAGAAACGGGACCTAGCTCTAGGGAAACTTGGTGGTGGAGGGAAGAGGTTTAAGCGGTAGTTAAGGCAAAAAAAGAGTACTTTAAAAAGTGACAGAAGGATAGAACTGAGGAAAACCTTAAGAGCTATAGATTGGCTAATAAGGAGGTCAAGAAAGTAGTGAGAGAGACCAAGTTGAAAGTATATGATGACCTATACACTAGACTAGATAGTAAGGAGGGAGAGAAGAGGGTATACAAACTTGCTAAGATACGGGAGAGGAAAACAAGAGATTTTAATCAAGTAAAGTGCATCAAGAGTGAGGATTCTAAGGTATTGGTGAAGGATGATGAGATTAAGGAAAGATAGAAGAATTATTTTGAGAAACTATTAAATGAGGAACATGGAGGTACGACAATAAGGGAAGAAATAGCCAGTAATACGGTAAACCAAGACTATAGGTTCTATCGCAGGATTAGGAACTTTGAAGTGGAAATTGCACTTAAGAAGATGAAATCAAATAAGGCTTTAGGACCCATTGATATCCCTATTGAAGCTTGGAAGTGTTTGGGTAAAAAGGGAGTTGGTTGGTTGACTAGGTTGTTTAGCAAAATTTTGTTGACTAGGAACATGCCAGATGAGTGGAGGAAGAGTATGTTAGTACCAATCTATAAGAGTAAAGGTGATGTCTAGAATTGTAACAACTATAGAGGAATCAAGCTAATGTGTCATATAATGAAAGTGTGGGAGAGGGTGATGGAACGCCGATTGCGAGATATAACAGAGATGTCAGAGAATCAATTTGGGTTTATGCCTGTTAGGTCAACAATGGAAGCGATCTATCTTTTGAGGAGAGAAATAGAAAAGTATAAAGAAAAGAAAAGAGACATTCATATGGTGTTTATCGACCTTGAGAAAGCATATGACAGAGTGCCCCAGGATATAATATGGTGGGTGTTAGAGAAGAAAAGGGTGACAAAATGTTACATTGACGTGATTTTGGACATGTATGAAAGGGTGGTGACCACTATTAAATCGCCAGCTGGAGAGACAAATGAAGTTCCTATCACTGTAGGGTTACACCAAGGATCTACCTTAAGTCCTTATCTTTTTGCTTTAGTTATGGACGAGTTGACGATAAATATTCAGGATAACGTGCCATAGTGCATGCTTTTTGCAGACGATATTGTGCTAGTGGATGAGACTAGAGAAGGAGTTAACACAAAGTTAGAGATTTGGAGAAAAGCTCTTGAATCTAAAGGGTTTCGGATAAGCAGAACTAAGACAAAGTGCATAGAGTGTAAATTTTTGAATAGTAACAATGAAAGCAGAGAAGCAGTGAAGATTGAGAACCGAGAACTGCCTAAGAGTGAACATTTTTGTTATTTACTGTCGATTATCACAATGGCAAGGAGATTGATGTAGATATGGCTTATAGGATTAAGGTGGGATGGCTTAAGTGGATAAATACATCTAGGGTACTGTGCGATGAACGAATACCCACTA